GCTTCGCAGTTCTGGCACGCATCGCAGCGTAGTGCACTTCTTTTATGACTGGAATTTTTATACATATCTATATCAATGTTTACATTCTGTTCTTGATTTGAGACGATGCTTTTTATCATTTTAATAATCTCTGTTGTCAGAATTTGAAAAAAACTGTCTTGATTTCAGTTCAGGATTTAGAATTGAAATTGGCCAAGAGTAAAAGCAGTTTAAAAATATGCAACCATACACAAAGATCAACACAAAACCGAGATGAGAAAGGCTACTTGATCCAGCAACTCTGACGCACTACTGAGTCATATAGAACTCCAACTCTAGACATTAAAGTTGAGGATGGGGAGCTTCAGTCAGATTATGGGACTCATTGTTTTACTTCAATCAAATGCAGTTCTCATGTGAAGAGGCTGCTCTCTGTCATCCAGTCTCACCCAAAAGACTGAGTGCACAGAGATGTTTTTGTTCACATTGTTTACTGCACAGTGTAGATCACAGTGACATAAGGCTGATTTCTCTGTCAAAGTGAGCATTTTCAGTTAAACTATCTATCTGTCTGTCTGTCTGTCTGTCTGTCTGTCGTCTGTTTTAACTTGACATTTTAATTATCTTATCATCTTAAAAAAATGGAATGTATACATTGGCTGGCATTGACACTCCCAGAATTCCCTGCATGACACTTCATATTTGATGGTTTTTTTGTTGAAATAACATGTTTCTTCTTAGTTTTTTCTTATCAGTTGTGTACATTAGGGTTTAATCTTACATCTAATGTTGTTAAATTAATGTTTATTGCATTATTTCAGTATTGTGTGTCACCATGATGGGGTTTAGTGTTTGTGTGAATTACACTGTGCACCTTCTATATACAATGCCCTCCTCAGCTCGTAGAAAAGCTGTTTGTGATGAGCTTTGGTTCATCGTGTGACTTTCTCATCACCACCAGCTTTTGGTGCATTACAATGGTTCAAAACAGATATTACTTCAATATGTTGGTTTATTAACATTACATCAGTTAATGAAATACAGTATTTTATTGTGAATTTCAGTCAAGTCTGTAAAACCTAAAATGTTGCTACCATATTTTTTACGGTGAAGTTCTGGCAGCCTCAGCTGCCGGAATTTTACCCTAAATGTCACAGATTTTTTTTTTTACAGTGTAGAGATAGACTGCTGTTGACTATAGGTTAATGATTTTTTCATGTTCATAATATAGAAATACAATATATTGACTTCTAAAAGCAATAGAAGTAGCTTACACTTTTCACTTTTCATTTAGAGGCTTTTTTAAGTATATGCACTTAATTCTGATTAATTTGATTAATGAGTCCTCATAGACCATTCAAAAGATCAAATATGACAGGAAAGACATGTTTAAAGTGACACAGTATTTCAATTTGACATAAATGCTGTTCCTTCTAACTTTTTATTCATTCAATCCTGAAAAAAAGTAATATTATAAAATAATAATAATTGGCACAACTGTTTTCAACATTAATAATAATAAATGTTTCTTGAGGATCATGTGACACTAAAGACTGGAGTAATGATGCTGAAAATTCAGCTTTGCATCACAGGAATATGTTAAAATAAAATTATTTGAAATTGTAATAAAATTTCACAATATTACTGATTTTAAAGTTAAAAAAGCTGATGTGTGTAAATTTTACCCCATTAGAAACATAAAAAAAACAGTAATTGTTTTCAAACATGTTTCCCCAAGCATTCTATTGTCTGTTTAAGCCTTTTCATAATAATTACACTCTTAAAAATAAAGTTGCTTAAAAGGTTCTTCACAGCGATGCCATAGAAGAACCATTTTTGGTTCCACAAAGAACCATTCAGTCAAAGGTTCAAAGGTTATAATCTGAAGAACCTTCTTTCGCCACAAAGAACCTTTTGTGAAACAGAAAGGTTCTTCAGATGTTAAAGGTTCTTTATGGAACCATTTAGACAAAACGGTTCTTCAATGGCATCGTGAAGCACCTTTATATTTAAGAGTGTAATTCACAATTATCTGTATGTGTCTTAACATTTTGACTTCTTTTGTGATTCTTATGCTTAAAGAGTTCTGTAAATGTCTGTATGCCTTCAGTGGACATGTAAAGCCATTCATAAATCACGAAGAAGGAAAATAGATTTATATACATGTACATAGGTAGCTCCTAATGCCCTCCAACAAGTAATTAGACTTGCGAAGGAAACTTTGGAAATCATCTGATGTTCCCCAGAGATTCTGGCGTTTTGAACTGCTGTGTAGGTAGACTCGTGTTTATCCTGGATGGGATTCTTGATTAAAATGGCAGAGAGTACGAAATTGCCTGAGTTTGCAGTGGTTAGGCCACCAAACTAAAATATCTTCTTTAGCAAAATAATGTTGTTTCGCTGTTTCTTGACTTTTTTTCTTACTCTTTCGTTCAACAATTTTGATTTAATTTCAGCTCTAGGAGTTATTTTTAATGCATGTTGTACTTGTAAGAGTGCCATTCGATATTAAACATCCCCTCTGTCAAATATTAAATAGCACAAATGTTTTCAACATTAATAATAATTGATTTTTTTAAGCAGCAACTAAGCATGATTAAAGGATCATGTGACACTAAAGACTGGAGTAATGATGCTAAAAATTTGGCTTTGCCATCAGAAGGAATAAATAATTTAAAAGTATATTCAAATAGGAAACATTTATTTTAAATTGTAAAGATATTTCACAATATTACCCTTTTTTACTGTATTTTTGATCAAATAAATGCAGCTTTAATGAGCATAAGAAAAAGAAGAAGAAAAATCTTACACACCCCAAACTTTTGAACAGTAGTGTATGTCTGAATTTTTTTTCATGAACATTTAATGACATCAGGTGACAATAATGAGGGTTGTTGTGTTACCAAATAGTAGCACATTGTCACATTTAGATGCATTCAGTTATAAGAGACGATGCTAATATTTAAATTAGTGTACTGCACTGGTGATGTGGGTGTGAAGAGAGAGAAAAAATATTTACACAAGAATTGGTAATGAGCTTTGACCCGCTGGGTATGCCTGGATAATGTTTAATGCCTTTCATAATTAACACAGCAAAAACAAACCATAAATTAAACCTATTATTCAAACTGTAGAATGCGTTTCACTTTCTTAAGCATTTAAATATTCAGTTGAAAGTCCTTTAAGGTATATTGTAGTGATATAGATGTTTTCCCCCGACAAGTACATATGTCACATCATTTTATGCAAGCAACACAATACCATTGTTTATAAGCTTTCCTAATATGTTTATCATGTAACTTTGTAACTGTACCTTGCCAAGCTACAAGCTTAAACTCCAGATAATACCTTTTTTAAGTAGTTTGCTACACTGCAAGGGTACTGACATATCTGTATACACTGCATTAAACCTGAACTAGAAATGGCCTAATTATTTTATTTCAAAAGTTAAAATGCAATGCCACACAGGGAGTTTGTGAACTGCTTCATTGAGCTGCATGCACAAAACAATGTGACGCATAAACCAGCAATGTCTCATTTTGTCACTTAACACCACTGTGTTAATGGAAAAACTACACTGTTTTGAACAAACTGAGCTATTGTTATGCTATAAGTTTAGCTCCACATACTGGTGCTGTACACTGCAAAAAATTATTTTCTTCAAAATAACAAAACATTTTTAAATGAAGAATTTTTTTATGCTTTAAACAAGAACAAGTATCTGCCGTTTTTCTGACCCACTGGCATATTTATTTTCTTTTATGTATAAACTCACTTAATTTTCAATATATCTTATGTGTTGCTTCTCAAGTAAATGTATCTTGATTTAAGAATGTTTAGATATTTGTACTGGAAAACAAGAAAATAATTTTGTGCAATGAGGTTAACTTTGCGCTGAAATTAATTATCTGACACATTCCATACATTCCAGACTTTTGATACATTCTAACAACAGCATTCTTGATCTGTTTAAACAAATACCTACGAGTAGGATCACTAAGCCACTGCCAGGCAAATGTCTGCGTGCCGTATGAAACCAGTGAGTCGAAGAGCATGATAGTGGTTTGTCACATGCTCTTCTTCACACACCCGGCTGTCAGGTACCGAATAATGTATCGCCTCTTACAGGAATCCCTCATGTGGAGAACAGAGAGGCCGACTCATTCGCACACGCACACGCATACCGAGATGGATGCACGGTGCCAGGCATATGTTGGGGCTTTATGAATAAGAAACTGAAAGAAGAGACGCACACCTCCGCGGTGTAAGCAGCTCTCCTCACATCACCTCAGGGTCAGCGGAGACAGGCTGCAGCACGCCGACCGACCGAGAAGGATGGAGAGCTAGAAAGAGTGCAGGAGGGAGAGAAGTGCAAGCGTGCATCTGTGGAGAGGGAGACGCTCGGCATTCACGCCCCCCTCTGAAGCCTCATGACTCACGAGGGGTGAGCAGCAGCATCACACCCACCCCTTCCCTCTCCAGTGCCAGGAAGAGCCGGCGAACCACGCGTCTCCAGAAGAAGGAAAACAGAGGAAGGAAAAAAGTTGGCCCACACGACTCCAGTGATGTCACGAGCATGTGACCCTGCTTCTCCAGTGACAGTATTCTGAGGGAAAGAAAAAAGATTTTTTAAAGGCTCGTGCCTCTTTGGGTTTGTGTGAAGGCTCCGCTCACCTCCTGAGCAACCACAGAACCGCAGAAAAGTTCGGCTCAGGATTTTTGCACGGCGGCGCGTAAATGGTTAACTGTCGCCGGTCAACTTCAGGTTTGAGGACCGCACCAACCAGTAAGTACGCTTCGATCCTCTGCAGTGAGCTTGGCTCCGTGCTGTCCAATAAGGCGACAGATTTTTGCATTTTTTCCTAAACCAGAACTGGTCATTACTTGTGGTCATGAAAATAGTTGATACAAAAATGCATTTCTTGTGGATGTTTTTTCCTTTTTTGCATCTTCCCCTGGCACGCCGCGCGCTTTCAACCTAAGAGGCGTCAAGGGTCACTGAAAACCACAGAGAAGCGAAATTTGGGCGACCATGGCATCCAACAGCCTCTTTAGTTCTGTGACCCCATGTCAGCAGAACTTCTTCTGGGGTAAGTGCCCGAGGTTTTCAACTTGTTTTTGACCATGCGGTAGAGCGTATAATAAGGAACTGCATTTTGAGAGGCAACAATCATATGTTGATGTTTACAAACATTCGGCTAGGCCAGCCGTCAGAAAGCCTGACTGCGTGCAGGAACCGATGTAGGGAAGATCGGGCGCTGTAGTGTCATTTTCGGTCTAATGCATGCTTTTTGGGATGTGCGTCAAAATGCAGGGGTGTGAAATCTAATATAAAAGCAACTAAGTGAATGTTTGACATTGACTGTTAGGTTAGTGGGTGTGTACAAGCTGAAAGCCCAGAAGGGTTACAGTTGAGAAAGCCACCATAAAATCTTCAAAAGTTAAGAAATGTACTAGATATTCTTTGCACAATGTATTTAATTCAGAATAGAGTGTGCACATCTTTTCTATGCATCTTTCTCAGACTATATACAGTATACATGTATATTTTTTTTAATTCTATTAAATTTTTTTTATTCTTTTTATAGTTTAATGTTTGTTGACACTTCATGCTGAGCAGAAATACTATATATATATAAAGAATGTCTGAAATTTTATAAAACTAACAGGCAAGCACAAAACCATACTGTGCATAAAAAATATGACTTTCTCATGTCATGAAGGAAAAGTAAGAGAGCCCATTCATTCTGATGTATGGGTTTTGCCGAATCCTCCAAGAGAAATGTTGTAAAGCCGTTTTCAAGTCTGAAAGTCTGCTTTCCAAACACAGCTGTGCGAGACCTGTTCCCTCAGCACGCGTGCTGTTCTCAGCCGTACACACAAACCCGAGAGCCACTTGTTAACCTCTGACCCTCGGCATGCTCCCAGGGGTGAGACTAGACCAGGATGAGAATGGGACGGGGAAAGCTTAGCGCCTGCTGTAGGGCAGCATGTCTTGATTGTGATATGTGCAGATGCATAGTAAAAGCCCACCCGAGACCCTCACTTTGTTAAGTTTCTGTGTGGTTTCATTACGAGAGGTACAGTAAATGCTTGGCTTAAATTCTGAATGATTTGCAATATATTTTTTTATGCTCAGAGAGTTTTAAAATAGCCATGTTTTGATTTAAAGCATCATGTTATATTTGGTGGATAATTGCATTCTGGTTCCAGATCTGTTTAACCCTCATGATCTTTTTGGGATATCAGAGACAACCAGTCCTGTTTGATAGCTCAAAAAAATTATTTCAATTTGACAACTTGCTTCATATGTCCTTCATGAAAGAATTTACTTCTATGTGTGTTTTTAAAGATATAAAGCATGAGTAAATGTAAGAAAGTTATTTTATAGTATTTTTCTACAGTATGTTTTTAATGAGACTTTGTGATTTCGAATTTAAACTTATTTATGTTACCTGCTTCATAGATTTTGATCAGGTCAGAGGAACATATTAAAAAATATGATGAAAATAAAAAAGCTCATTTTAAAGTTACTAGTATTATTTTAAACATACAGCATTGAGGTCTCTGTAAAGTTTATATTGTGTGTTATACATAGTTGGATCAGTTTGACTTAATGCATTCAACAGTTTACATATTCGCAACATATTTAATTAATACATTTGATATATTTTAACTAATCTAAAATGAGATTATTTTAAACTTTTCATATTAGTGTGAGCTGATATCACGACCAGTGAAGAAGGAGGCGGCAGGAAAGAAACCAGACCCAAACAGACACATTATATTTCATTCAGGCTCCACTATTGAGAGATTTGGATTTAATTAAGTAGAAAACATTCTCTGTAACGCTGCCTAATGGCAGATGGGTGTGGAGTAATTGTCTACATGTGTGGCATGAGACAGACTCGCTAGGTTTCTCCAGGGCATATTTTGTTGCTCATTATCAAAACCGAGCTATACAGTATTGACAATTATCCCATGGTAGCAATTATCATTTAGCGAGAATGTAAGGGAGACATTTAAAAATAAAAAAGCTAAGACTGATGAAAGAAAAGAAGACAGTTTAAAGACTCTAAGGACTCAAAGTCCATAAGCATTCCAGAGAATCCAAGAATCCCAAATCATTTGAGAGCAACATCAGACGAGTATTAAAAGGCAGCTTCTGTTGCATGCATCGTCTGCTCAGATCCCACTGCCCGCCGTCATTCCTGAGACATCTTAAAAGCAAACCAGACTTACTTTTTCCAAAGCAGTGCCTGAGCAGGGAATCCCTCTCATCAATAGGTAATTGAAGCGAGGGGAAAATCTCTGACCCTGAGCTGCAGCTTCTGTGAAGGAGAGGACCATCTAAAAATATCATCAAAGCCATATTCATTTAGTGCTATTTAATTGTAGCTGGCGAGCAAACATGTAATTTTGACAGCAATTTTTAGATACTGAATGGTCCTTTGGGTGGATTCATTTACTAATAGTCAGGTAGAGCTTTGTGTCTAAATTACATCTTTTATGAAAGGACTTTGAGGTTACAATCTCCTTAATCACTGCTGATTAACTCTTTAACCAAAATAACATAAATTAAAAATCAGTAACAAATATCATTAAAATTATGAAAGTGAGGCTAGATCTATCTATCTCTCTTTCTCTCTTTCTCTCTGTCTGTCTGTCATCTGTCTGTCTGTCTGTCCCTAATCTCACTTACATTCTCACTAAATAATAACTTCTACCATGGGATAATTATACATAATAAATAAACTCCTGTTCTAAGGACCTTGAACTTTGCATTTCGTTGGGTGTGCAGATTTTTTGCCTTGGCTTTTTGTATAATTATACTTACGAAATGCTTCACAAGCACAGCCAGATGTATTGCTAAAAATGTAGGGCCACTATCCATGATCTTTCTTTCTTTTGGTTGGTGCAGTTTGAATTGAAAAGTGAAAAAGAGAAAAGTCACATGACAGGAAGTAGTGCCTCAACATTGGCCGATTTCCATGTCAATGTTATAATTGCAGTCTATGTTCGTTTAATCTTCGTGATTGACTCATTATATTGGTAGAATATTGCTTATTAATGTTCTTTAATAATTTTTGACGCAAACAAAAAAGCATTTAAAAATGTTGAGAAGGGAGTTTTTAATGTGACTTGGTTTTATATAAAAGATGTTAAAGTGATGTTCACCCCAAAATATTAATTCTGTCAATATTAACTATTAATGTCGTTCCAAGGCTGTATGACTCACTTACTTCTTTGAAACATAAAGAGGAAGACATTTACAGATATTTTTATCTGTACAATGAAAGTCAATGGGGGTCTGATGTTGTTTGGACACCAACATTACTCAAAATGTTTTCTTTTATGTTTAAGTAAGTCATACAGGTTTGAAATGACTTGAGGGTGAGTAAATAACAACTGAATTTTCACCAAAATATTATAGTATTGACTGCTTAGATAAATGGTGTTGATGAAAACATCAGATGCAAATGCAACATTAATTTCCATTTCAGAAGTCCAAACTACACTTTGAAACGATGCATATTATGAAAAGCGCTACTGTATATAAATCAATTTGTATAGCACTTTTCATAATTTGACTTGACTTTTCAACACCAAGCTGAAATTGTGATGATTGTATGTGTCCAAAACGAAAGATTCTCATGAGATAAATAGGTAAATAAATAATGAATTAGATAAATTATAAATAACATCTGTTAAATTGATTAACATGGGTGGGATGTATTATAGTGTCGGACACCAGCCTTTGATCTTCCAGATGAAGCTGGTAGGAACTGATGAATGAGAAAAGGAAGAGGTAATTTGATGAATGCACTTAGTCATACAGCTGAAGAGCATGAAACTGATCTCTTTTGTCACGGTCTCAGCATATGCACAGACTGAGCGCCGGAAATGACAAAGGCTGGACATATAGCATCACGATGCAACAGGTACCATCTCTTAATTTGGTTCAATTACCATCCCACACACCCCTTTAAGGGTAGAGGTGTTAAATGGATCAGTTGCACACCTGAAGAGTAGTTTGTTGGCACTGGGACGCCAGCCCTGGCTGTGGACGCCCACACAAGCCTAATGCTGTAATCTGAGCGGCCCAGTGACACGAACAGGAAGAAGTCAAATAGGCAAGGGATCACCTTGCGCATGAGAGCTGGCGCAGAAGTATGTCACAGGAGACAAACGGCCAGATCAGACACCACCCATCTGCTTCGGTGGAGGCCTTTGTGTCGTCTTCATCGCCCTCGTCTTGTTTCCTCTCACACTTTTAAATGCGATAGCTCAATCACACTCGGCACAAAAGGCCCCTATCTGTTGTAAAAACCCCCTCGAATCACTGACATGCCACCTGCGCTGCGTCCCGCACCGGACACAATGGTTTCTGGGAGGCGTTCCCGCCTACAGCGGCCCACCACACACTTTCACAAAGGCCGAAATGAAATATGCACACAGCACAAAGCCCAGAGAGAGGGAAGGAGAGTGCACACCTTGGCACTGCGTTCGGTAATTGCCTTTGATGTCACGTTTACAGTGTCCTGGGAAATCCACGGATGGGGCTGGGATCTTCTTTTCAGCTCTCAATTCACTTTTACTCAACACGTATTCAGACGGGATACAGAGAGAAAACCCTTTAAAGCCTTCAAAACAGCACTTTGAACTTCAGTCAAACAGGACAGGCCTTTACACTCCAACATGTCCTCCTGAGTTTTATTTTAGATGCTCTTTAATGTTCTTTGAATAGTAAGCGTAAATATGCACGGTCAGCAAATACTAGGCACAAAGCGGTAACATGTAATTACAGCACATTAGTTGATTTGTTGGTGGCGTGCATGTCTCTGTGTTGTTTTGATGTGTATGTGGGAAATGGAATGTCTGTTCTCTTAGGCGAGAGAACGGCAAAAACACAGATTTAACAAGAATCTTCCCAGAGGATTTAAAGCACATCAGCTCTGTTCCAAAAGCTAGTGAGCTGCTGTCAACTGGCTACTAAGAGGGCATCCTAAGCATCGAACTTTACTAGTGGCTTATTTGTAATGTTCTGTAATAGAACATAAAACTCATGATGCCGTCAAAAGTTTGGGGT